CAACCCTAACCATAGATATGTTATAAATAAGAAACAGAACTACAATCACACAAACACAATATTTTTTTGACATGGGTATAGAGAGATTGAGTAACTGAAAATCTCTCGAAAGAGAGAGCCTCTCATGGATTGGTGTCTATCACTGTGCCAAGCTCTTCTAACACACTCATAGGGTCTTGGGCCTGGCCTAGGCATCTTCAAGAATTGAAAAGCAGAGAGTAGAGAGATGGAAGCACGAGTAGAAACAACTGTAAAAGACATGTAGTGATTTTAGCACTAGTTGCCCAATTTTGTGTGAAAAGCGTGTTTAATAAACACACTTTTCAGAAAAAGCATAGAAATTAAACACGCTTTCATTACTGTCCAACTTTTTTTTTTTTTTCATAAAAAGGGATAAAAAGCAGAGTTATTGAATCTGCTTTCAAAAAGTATTGTAATTTGGTAAATAAGTTTAAAAGTGTTATATTTTGGTAAATTTGTTTAAAAGTTGCTATATTTTGGTGATTAATTCGAGTCATTGGTCTGTTTAATTAGTTCACTTTTCTTATAGTACTAATATATATTAACTAAAAAGTCATCCATTTATCTGTATTTTTATTTATTTGATGGGTAAAATAATAAATTTTTTATAAATTAATACGATTGAAGTGAATGAATTGAATATTATTTATTCCATGTAATGTTAATGGTTAAATCTTCTAAGTTTCAGCTGATTTTTAATCTGATCCTTCCCGAATGATGTGAATATGACTTAAACTTTCCAATGGAAGTTACGCGATTCATCTTCTTAAACTAAAGAATATATGCATCGTTTTACGCTTAATTGACTTGGTAAAATTTAGTTATTGCAAACCAGTCAAGTATTTCGTATAGCTGACTCATTTGTTCACGTGATTAATATAGACAGTCACCGATCATTAAAAAAATAGTATTTTATGACAATCTCTCAAATCCACCTCTAAACTCCCACTGATTCACGCTAATTCTCCCAAAATTTTCTGGGTTGCAAGTGCAGGCTTATTTTTTGTTACATCATTTGCTTCAATAGGGTTTGGTTTATATCCAAACTTTAATGCAATTGACTTGCTCCATTTCTTTGTTTTTCCGTAATGGGAACACGCAATGAATTATGCACGTGACATCAAGCTCGAGCAGTGCTTTGGGTAATGGTGGTTGTGGTGCTGCTTGGGTGGATACATGGAGTAGATAGAGAACGAAAGAAGCTTTTGTTCTTTCTACTGCTGGAAAGTGATTGTTACCATCACGAGGAAACAACAAATCTCCACTATGTATATATAAGAACCAGAACAGAGAGCCCAAGTTCTACACGTTCATCTGAACTCGACATATACAGCATACATTCTGTACTCAGAACCATATACAGTATAAACACCGTATATCTACAATCACCCAACAAATTGCCTGCATCAGAAATAGATGACAGGACTCTACCAAGTGAATATTTGAGAAACTAACCCCAGAGATCTTCCCTCTCAAGCTACCATGTCAAGCATTACCCTTCTGATTTGGTAATTTTCTGTATCTAGTTGAAAAGAATTCACAAGGACCACTAGCAACCACAGCCTTCAACCATTTGAAGTAGTTTCACTTTAATGTGTACTTATTTTTAGTAAATAACAAGTGTTAAATTGACTATACCAGTTCTAATACAAAATCATGCAATTGCCTCATGTGATGGCCTGCAGTTATTCCTTCAATTTAAATCATGGGATGATAAGTAATTATAGCAGATTCCTATTATGAAGTTCAACTTTCCTATAGCAAAATATTGTCTTTAGGCAAATCCAACAAAGAAATATGCACAAATACTTCACAGAATCCAAAAGCTTACAGCAGAGTAAGTCAAAGTTTGTGATTTTGAATCCATCTCTTTCATAGACTAANGTTCTTTTTAGTTGCCGAACTATGAATCTCATTCACAACCCTAACCATAGATATGTTATAAATAAGAAACAGAACTACAATCACACAAACACAATATTTTTTTGACATGGGTATAGAGAGATTGAGTAACTGAAAATCTCTCGAAAGAGNAACACGGTGTTTTGTGTTCAATTACCATTGCATAAAATGAAATGTTTTGATCATATAGACATAAACAACAGAGTTTAAAATCATAAATTACATGAACTATGCCTCAGAATGTGCTCCTTAAAGCAAGGAAATGTAGGACAAACACCAAACTCAGAAAATGGGGGGAGCCACCCTGGACACTTACAAGTGTCATGTTATATTAAAACTCTCAAATGATTTCAAAAACTATAGGAAGGAGATATATTGACCATATTTAGCATCTCAAAATAGCAGTCCCAGTAAAGGATCAAAAGCAATGCAGATAACCGCTCACCCTCATGTTAAACTTAATCATTGGAGTTCAGAATTTTCAAAAATATAAAAAAATGCCACAACTTCAAACATGAGATAAACATCAACACTNCTGGCCTAGGCATCTTCAAGAATTGAAAAGCAGAGAGTAGAGAGATGGAAGCACGAGCAGAAACAACTGTAAAAGACATGTAGTGATTTTAGCACTAGTTGCCCAATTTTGTGTGAAAAGCGTGTTTATTAAACACACTTTTCAGAAAAAGCATAGAAATTAAACACGCTTTCATCACTGTCCAACTTTTTTTCTTTTTTTTTTTTTTTAATAAAAAGGGATAAAAACAGAGTTATTGAATCTGCTTTCAAAAAGTATCGTAATTTGGTAAATAAGTTTAAAAGTGTTATATTTTGGTAAATTTGTTTAAAAATTGCTATATTTTGGTGATTAATTCGAGTCATTGGTCTGTTTAATTAGTTCACTTTTCTTATAGTACTAATATATATTAACTAAAAAGTCATCCATTTATCTGTATTTTTATTTATTTGATGGGTAAAATAATAAATTTTTTATAAATTAATACGATTGAAGTGAATGAATTGAATATTATTTATTCCATGTAATGTTAATGGTTAAATCTTCTAAGTTTCAGCTGATTTTTAATCTGATCCTTCCCGAATGATGTGAATATGACTTAAACTTTCCAATGGAAGTTACGCGATTCATCTTCTTAAACTAAAGAATATATGCATCGTTTTACGCTTAATTGACTTGGTAAAATTTAGTTATTGCAAACCAGTCAAGTATTTCGTATAGCTGACTCATTTGTTCACGTGATTAATATAGACAGTCACCGATCATTAAAAAAATAGTATTTTATGACAATCTCTCAAATCCACCTCTAAACTCCCACTGATTCACGCTAATTCTCCCAAAATTTTCTGGGTTGCAAGTGCAGGCTTATTTTTTGTTACATCATTTGCTTCAATAGGGTTTGGTTTATATCCAAACTTTAATGCAATTGACTTGCTCCATTTCTTTGTTTTTCCGTAATGGGAACACGCAATGAATTATGCACGTGACATCAAGCTCGAGCAGTGCTTTGGGTAATGGTGGTTGTGGTGCTGCTTGGGTGGATACATGGAGTAGATAGAGAACGAAAGAAGCTTTTGTTCTTTCTACTGCTGGAAAGTGATTGTTACCATCACGAGGAAACAACAAATCTCCACTATGTATATATAAGAACCAGAACAGAGAGCCCAAGTTCTACACGTTCATCTGAACTCGACATATACAGCATACATTCTGTACTCAGAACCATATACAGTATAAACACCGTATATCTACAATCACCCAACAAATTGCCTGCATCAGAAATAGATGACAGGACTCTACCAAGTGAATATTTGAGAAACTAACCCCAGAGATCTTCCCTCTCAAGCTACCATGTCAAGCATTACCCTTCTGATTTGGTAATTTTCTGTATCTAGTTGAAAAGAATTCACAAGGACCACTAGCAACCACAGCCTTCAACCATTTGAAGTAGTTTCACTTTAATGTGTACTTATTTTTAGTAAATAACAAGTGTTAAATTGACTATACCAGTTCTAATACAAAATCATGCAATTGCCTCATGTGATGGCCTGCAGTTATTCCTTCAATTTAAATCATGGGATGATAAGTAATTATAGCAGATTCCTATTATGAAGTTCAACTTTCCTATAGCAAAATATTGTCTTTAGGCAAATCCAACAAAGAAATATGCACAAATACTTCACAGAATCCAAAAGCTTACAGCAGAGTAAGTCAAAGTTTGTGATTTTGAATCCATCTCTTTCATAGACTAACACGGTGTTTTGTGTTCAATTACCATTGCATAAAATGAAATGTTTTGATCATATAGACTTAAACAACAGAGTTTAAAATCATAAATTACATGAACTATGCCTCAGAATGTGCTCCTTAAAGCAAGGAAATGTAGGACAAACACCAAACTCAGAAAATGGGGGGAGCCACCCTGGACACTTACAAGTGTCATGTTATATTAAAACTCTCAAATGATTTCAAAAACTATAGGAAGGAGATATATTGACCATATTTAGCATCTCAAAATAGCAGTCCCAGTAAAGGATCAAAAGCAATGCAGATAACCGCTCACCCTCATGTTAAACTTAATCATTGGAGTTCAGAATTTTCAAAAATATAAAAAAATGCCACAACTTCAAACATGAGATAAACATCAACACTTGTGCCCGTAAAATCAACCAAAAACAACACATGTGAAGTCACAAATCAACCGCGTCACTTTATCACTTACAAATCAACAGAAAAACAGTACACAGAGTGCAAAGTAATGCGCAAATGCAATCTCCTCAAAAAATACCTGAAATAACTTTGTAATCAAGTCAAGTCAAGGCATAAGGAGTCCCCTGGTCCTTTAATCACAAACGTATCATACATAACTCACAAAAGATTAAATAAAACAAAATGTAATAGACGATTAAACAAACAAAAGCATTCATAATTAATGGGCGTAATTAAAACATAAGGCACAGAAGGCAAGCTGAAAATACATGAAATAACTCTATATCAAACTAAACCATCCGGGTCTGCCCTTAATGCCAAACAAAATATAAACCAGAGCATAAATAGATCATCTGGAAAAACCGATATTACAACTCTACTCAACCGATAATAAATGTATCAACTAAACCAAAGCATTCACCCTCAATACACATAATACGCAACATAATGTGTAAAAGGCGGGCTCTTCAGAAAACAACTGAAATAACTCTGCATTCAACTAAAACCATATGGTCCTCCGGTCCATACCACCAAAAAAAAAAATTAACCAAACGCTTGATAGATTAGATTAACTAAAATACCATAATAGACATGACAAACAAACCAAAGCATTCATAATCAAAATTGAATTCCAACATCTTCAATTTAATTAACTCAAATATCCTAAAAATATTCAAACCAACATAATACTCAAAACATAAGACCTATAGGATCTCTCAAGAAAGTCTCAAATTTCAGGACCTGAAAACATAATAGATAAACAGATTGTAAAGCATAGTGAAGATAATGCCAAACCCTCAACGGTAGGATTTCTGGAACCTAGCACGAGCACCACGACCACCGAACTTCTTGGGCTCACAGCGTCGAGGATCGGCAACAAGAAGAGTCCGATCGTACCTCACCAGAATGTCCTTGATCTCCTTCTTGCTCTGCTCATCGACGTACTTCTGGAAGTAGGCGACGAGTGCTTTAGCGATGGATTGACGGATGGCGTAGATCTGAGAGGTGTGACCACCGCCCTTGACGCGGATGCGCATGTCGACTTCGACGAAGCGTTGGCGGCCAAGCAGGAGGATCGGCTCGAACGCCTTGTAGCGGAGGATTTCCGGCTGGACCAGCTCGATGGGGACGCCGTTGATTTTGATCAGGCCACGGCCGCGCTTGCAGTGAGTGACGGCGACGGCGGTCTTCTTCCGGCCGAAGCACTGGACAGACTGGATTGGGGCTGCCATGTGTTCGCTGAGAGCTCAGTGCCTGGTGATTGGGAAAACCAAACCCTAACCCTAACTCTAGTTATGAGAGAGAAAATGTGGGGGAGGCGGAGCAGGGGAAAGAGTGAGGGGAGCAATATATATGGGTTCCACTTACCGAAAAAAAATATATATATATGGGTTCTAGGGTTTTGGAGAATTGCTTGAATAACCTTAATGTATGGAGAAACTACAAACATGCCATGGGCCCAGTGCTTATTGCCAAAAAAGTAAAGTCCACTAGGGCCCAAATATCTTTAGATTGTTGGAAAGTTGGGCTTCAAAGCCCAAAGCTGTTATTGTCACTCGTGTTTAGGAATAGTTGCAAAGGAATAAGTGAAAATTAAATGTGTGTCTTCCTGGATAGGACTATCAAAATTTGGCACAATACGATTAATTGACACAAATTAAGTGAATTTGGGTGAGATCTTAATTGGTTTGGGTGATAAACGGGTTGACACGATAAACACGTTTAATAAACGGGTCGTGTTCGGGTGAGACTTGTCAAACCATTTATCATACGTTTATCCGTTTAAATAAAATTAATATAATTATAAATTAATAATTATTTAAAAAAATTAGCAAGAAAAAAAGAAGTAAAAAAATCAATAAAAAAAAAGAAATAAAGTAGTAGTTCAAAGACAAAAGAGAAGAGATGAGGAACACTTCAAAGACAAAGACAAGTCTTATTTGTTTCACGTTGAAAAATGAGAGGAGATGGAGAGAGTTGAGTTGCCTATAAAAAGCAATGACCTCTTACTTTTTTTTTTTAAGCCTTCAAGTCTTATTTGTCCCACATTGGAAAATGAGGGGAGATGGAGAGGGTTGAGTTGCCTATAAAAAACAATGACCTCTTACTTTTTTTTTTAAGTCTTCAAGTCTTATTTGTCCCACATTGAAAAATGAGGGGAGATAGGGAGGGTTGAGTTGCTTATAAAAAGTAATGCCTCTTACTTTTTTTTTTTAGGTCTTAAGTCTTATTTTTATGAGATTTGACTAAAAAATCTTCNGGTTGAGTTGCCTATAAAAAACAATGACCTCTTACTTTTTTTTTTAAGTCTTCAAGTCTTATTTGTCCCACATTGAAAAATTAGGGGAGATAGGGAGGGTTGAGTTGCTTATAAAAAGTAATGCCTCTTAATTTTTTTTTTAGGTCTTAAGTCTTATTTTTATGAGATTTGACTAAAAAATCTTATTTTTTGAGGCAAGTGCAATTGACAATAAAAAAGTTTGAGTATTAAAATTTGTTAATATAATTATTTTAAAATTAAACGGGTTAAATAAGTCGTGTCGTATTACTCGTTTATTAAACGGGTCGTGTTCATGTTGAGATTTTTTACCTGTTTATTAAACGTGTCGTGTACGAGATTTATATATTTTTTACCCGTCACTCGTTTAACCTAACATGTAACCGTTTAACCCGACACGTTTGACACCCCTACTCCTAGATGGACTTATAATGACTTGAGTTTTGGAAGAAAACTTATTTCGGGGTAAGTTCATGTTTAAATTTATATGTAGGTACTTAAGTCCATTTATTTTTTAAATATCAAAATTATTTGTAACGGTGTTAGTTTTGTCCAGTTATGAAAAATCACATACGTTAAATCATTAAGGTATATATAGAAATCCTTAATTAAGTTATGTATAAAAATCATTTATTAAATATTATGATAATTAATATAAGTTTTATATGGAAGTTATATATTCTAATAGTTATATATGGTAGTTTGATGTACTCAAAATTAGATCATAAATTTTTTTTAACAATTCAAAATTTTCTTAATATTAGTGTTACTATAGTGATACGAATGAGATTATTTTTCTTAAAATACTCAATATCCAAAATGAAGAATTCCACCATTTCAAATAGTAACACAAGCTCAATTCTAATTTTGATTTTACTCTTCAAGTTTACTGTGGAATTCATTGACAAAGTTATAGTTGATTCTTTGCATTCAAAACATCTTCACAACTTTGAGATTCAAAAATAGAGTTAAGGTATGCAATTTTACATGAAAGTTGATGTTCATTGTAGGATTTTAAAAAACTTCTACATAATATATAGTTCAAACTATCCGTTTTTTTTTGTATTTCTAATTTAAAAACTGAGATTCACTATTACTAAATTAAAGTGTCATAAAATTTGATTTTATTGTTTTCTTTATTGTGCATGACATTCGAAATACCTTGGTTGTATGTCTATAAAATAGATCTTGTTACTGTGTGATAACTGAAAAATGAATTTCAGAATTTTGATGTATTGATGTTCTTGATTGGTGTTGAGTGTTCTAATTCAACTGTTAATGGTGTGTTACTACTAGAAAATTTGTAAAATTTTAATTTGTGGATCATATTTTCACTATAATCTTTCAAAAATTGATGTTACTGTGAAAATCCTATTGCCTTATATTTTGTAAAAATTGATGTGTTACTAAGCACAAACATTTGATATTATTGTAAAAATTAAATGTGTATGTTATATAACATATGTTTGAAGGTTTGCAATTGGTAGTGTAAGTGAAAATTGAGGTTAGGCTTGTGTTAATATTTGAAATGGTGGAATTATTCATTTTGGTTATTGAGTATTTTAAGGAAAACAATCTCATTCTTGTCACTAAAATAACATTTGTGTCACTATAGTAAAATTAGTATCACTATAATAACACTAATGTTAAGAAAATTTTGAATTATTGAAGAAATTTTGTGATCTAATTTTGACTTAGTAGACCAACAATTTATTTGTGCATTAAGCTTCCATATATAACTATCAGAATATAAAATTTCTGTTAATTATCATAATATTTTATAAACGGTTTCTATATATAACTCAATTAAGGGTTTTGTATATACCTTAGACGTCGGTTATTGTTTTTCCAAATGGTAGGGGTACAATAGTAAATATGACAAAAAGTGGACTTAAACCAAACAAGTTTATTTGCCGGACTTATCTCCAAATAAGTCTATATAGAGGGGTTGGCCTCCAAATTTCCCAAGAAATAAAACCATACTCGCCAATTGTTTTTTTAGATTAGGTCGTTGTTAAAAAGTCAAAGTAATGAAAATAACTAACATTATTTACAATTGTAAAAGATAACGACAATGTCATCACCTAATTTAAACACTTATTCTAAAAAATTACGTCATCATAATGTACATTTTCTTCCATAAACCCAAATCATAACACATATGGAATCAAACCTAAACAAAAATTTATAAAATTAAAAAATTAGATTTAACCATGAGTAGATTATTTAGATCTAACTCTATGGCTAGCTCATCTAGATCTTCATTAGGTACTATACCTAATATAGTAAATGAAGAAGAACATTAGTTTGGAGAAACAAGAGTATATTGGACTGGATGAAATATCCCGAAGGTATCCCATCGAGACATCTATAAACCTAGTTGGCTCCTTAAAGTCTTTAATGAAGAGTTACAAGTAAAAACTATTGAACAAGTTTATCCTCTCTTTAAGGATGAACAAAGTTGCCAACTGTTGAGTGCCAAAACCCTTAAAAAACATAGGGATAAAGGATTTAACTTTATTCACCTTGGATTAGTACAAGTGGCTATTAAACCACTAACTCAACAAGGTAAAAATTCAACAGCCTTGTTAATGTTAAGAGATGCTAAGTTTATTGAATATGAACCCAGTATCATTGGTATCATGGAAACAGGTCTCCATAGNCTTGGATTAGTACAAGTGGCTATTAAACCACTAACTCAACAAGGTAAAAATTCAACAACCTTGTTAATGTTAAGAGATGCTAAGTTTATTGAATATGAACCCAGTATCATTGGTATCATGGAAACAGGTCTCCATAGAGGACCAGTTTATTTCAACTATTTTCCTGACTTCACCTTAAGTTTAGGATGCAAAAATACTCCCTTAGCTTTAACCTTAGGCATAAAGCTAACAGGAAGCATCACTAAATTGGTAAAAGAAACTGAATCCATAGTACTTCTCTATAGGATTTATTATAAATGCATTACCACAAACCTGAATGTACATGCATTGCAGAAAAGTCCGTTAGGTAGTACTACATTGATTCAAGTCAGTATTAACCAGTCAAATATCCAAGCACCTAAGCAAATCCTCTGGAAGGAAGTAACGTTCCCAGAATCTTGGATAGTAAAAAATGAAAATCATGATAAAGACAGTGAAAACACAACCACTGACTTAGAGAGCATCCACCAGTTAGAGGATGGCTCAGTAAGAATCTCCTTTGATTCTGCAAGATCTAATAGATCAAGCAGATTCATAAATAAACCTGTTCAAATTTGTGAAGGAAGAAAATCTGAATCTAGTTTTAGACTCTCTAAAAGAGACCAAGAAATAGATAAAGAAATTCAAAGACTATACAAGTTAAAAGGAATAGATAATTCTTCTTCACAAATTAGTAAGCCGTGTTATACTCCACATCAGAGTATTCCACAACAAAAAAAGGAGGAAGATGATGAAGAAGATGATTTCACCCCTTCTTCTACTGCTAGTGACCTTCAGAGCAATAACCACCAGTTATTCATGGTTAGAAAGGAATCTAGTACCTTATTCATGCTTGATATGAATAAACTAAAAAAAGACTTTCAATCATTAAAAAATGAATCTAAAAGACAAAAGTACTTTAAAAGATTCAATAATAACCAACAAATTGAAATAATAAAACAGTGGATTAAGCTAATGTGTAAGCTAGAAGCTGAAATCTTATTTTTTTGATTATCTTGATAACTTCCACAAAGAAGTTAATGTTGTCACACAATACAATTGGAAAACAGAAAAATCCATTGTATCTTCAAGTCACCCTCCAGCAGAAATCATTGTCATTAACCATGGTAAACCTGTTGTAGCCTTTCCTTTCAAACTCTCCACAGATGAGTCTGAAAAGAAAATTGTGGAACAAAATAATTTTAATAACCAAAGCCTAATCACTATAGGTAAGCAGTTAGATAAAATTAAAAATAAAATTGATGAGATCAAACCAGATAATAAATTAGAAAAACCTCTAATTCATCTACCTGAAGATCGTAGTAAATTAGGAGTAAAAGACAGTCAAAATATTGAGAAGATTGAAAAACTTATTTCTAAAATGAAGCAGAAAGAA